CATGCGCGCCAGACAGGGGTCACAGAATCCACAGGGGCGGGCGGGTCTGGGGCCGGGGATATTTACGGGCCAGCAAGGTCAGCGGTCTTCAGAAGGTCAGGTCGCACTGATGAGAGTCTTGATAAATGTCATACAAAGTCCAATGAAAATGGACGGGAAGATAGGTATATCTCGACTGGATTAGTTACTGTCATTTACGGGTCAGGTCAGATGAGACAAGGTACTGTTGTGTCCGACGTGCCAATCGATGTCGCAGCGCCCAAGTGAAGTGGAATGCAAGCTTCGATTTCAAAAGAGGCCATGCGCCCACCACTTGCGTTATCGATAAAATGGTGTCGTATCATGCGAATCAAAGTCCGGTTCAAGGTATACAATCCAGCGTTATTTTCGGCATCCCAATCTTCTGCGCGAACAACTTGACATCGATTCATGTTGCAATGCGCATGAAATGCATTGCCAATACGCAGCAGGAGCGGAGGAATGCACAAATGGCGCAGGCGAATTTCACAGCTGGAAGGATACTGCGTATTGTAGACAGGTTTCACCGTATAGGGAGCGCTCCGTCGCTGGGAGCGTTCTGTCGCTCCGTCGAAAGTTGTGCACTAATTACCGGTGTAATTAGCAATAACTAGGTATGTGCAAGTCCCGCTTTCGCCGGGTCGACTGATAGTAAAGCCGGCCCCGGTCACGGCTGGCGGTGGACAAACAGGCCGTGATGACCGTTTATTGTGTCGTGAATGGACCCGGTGGCCCGTGAAATATGGAGCCGCGCTGCCGCCGTCACAACAGTCAGCCCACAGCGAATATGGCCAATCTCACAGAGTACGTTCATTATGGTATCTGTCAAAACCATGACAAAACCTAATCCGTTCCGGCCATTATGTTGATCGTTAGGATTCGTCCGGCAAGTCTGCTTACATCTAAGCGTAACCGGTGTTTACAGATCTCGTTTTGAGAGCCGTGAGGCACGCGCAAGTTTGCACGAGCGGGGTCGTCAGCCAAAGTTTGAGCTACCGCACGCACACCGATTGATCAAAGTCCGCCCGCCCGGATAAACACACAGATCAAAGATTAGATCACCGCTCGTAGATGAGGATAAATCACGCGTTCGGTGACCCCGTCTCCCGCAGTGGCGGCCAGGTGATGGCTCACCACCTCACTGACCTTCGGTTGCCGCGTCGGAGTCCCGTGTCGGCCCGTCGCTCGTCGGACAGCTCGACCTCCAGCCGTCGGCGTCGACTCCGGATCACCTCTGAGGCTCGCGTCGGCCGAGCGGTACCCCACCTGCACTCACCGGCACCTGCGCGCCGCGCACTGAACGCCGCCGTGCGCCGCCGCACGCCGCGCGCCGCGCCGCGCCCGAGCCCCAGCGGCGACCGCGCGCGGACACGCACCGCGCCCCTGCCGGCGCCCCCGCATCGCGCGCGCTAGTAAGTACCAGCCGTGAAACAGAGAAGGGTTGTCGGACAGGGCACCGGCGGCCATGGACGGGCCGGAGGGCCGCTCGTGGCGGCTCGGGACCGCGATCGGTCACGGCGGTCGGCGGGAGGACGGCCGACAGTGACGCATGAGCGCGCCAGGAGCGCGGCAGTGATGCGCGTAATCCCCGCTCCCCGCGCCGGTCACTGGAGAGGTGCCGGCTCCCGAGCCGCCCTGTTGATAGGTTAATCCGTCCGGAAGGGTCAGAGGGAGCCCCATCGGTCACCAGCGCCGGAGACGGTCGGCGAGAGGGGCGGCGGGAGGACCACCCACCCACTCCCTCGGCAGTCGCGCCGGCCGCCGGACGGTTCGGGACGGGACGGGACCCCGTGTCGCAGGAAGCGGCGACTCCGTCAATAAACGCGCCCTCTCGGGGTCGATCAATCAATGAATGAGACAGATGCCGTCCAGATATTTCCCCGTCTTAGCCGGGTCTTATGCGCTCCCCATCCCACCGGCAGCGCCGTCCAGCCCTTCCTCTCCGAGAAAAGAGCAGTACGGATTTCAGTCATAACAAGCTCGGCACCTGAGCCCTACCAGGCAGAGGAGGGGTGCAGCCGGTCCCGTATATGTAGGTATTGATTTATTGGGGCGGGGGTCAGATGGTATCTCGGTATTCAGTCGGGAGCTGACGGAGAGCCGCTGTGGTTATTTGCTCGGGGCGGGACCGTGTTATGACAGAGCTGGCCCGCCGAGGGACGAGTTAGCTCGTAAACACACACACAGAGACTGGTGGTTAAACAGCACTGCCGCTGCCGCTGGGTTGAAAGGATATGCTATGATGTCCTGCTCCGGACAACACCGACCAGATTAACAGCCACAAATGGATTGCATCAATCGTACATGTAAAGCTGCATCTTGACACGATGGCCATCGGCCACTTGACATGCTTCGATATCGGTATGAACTGAAGAGTGTCCAGTCTGTAATCAATCCTATATAGTCCACGACTCCACAGAAGCCAAAACATCGAGCTATTTGAGAGCATAGCGGCTCGAACGTGTTATAATTACCAAGAGGAAAATTCAATTGCAATTTATACCTGCCAGTCGCGTGAATAAATTGTCTCTTAATCAGATACACCAGTGCAGGCTCACATCAACAGAGCAAAGCGGCGACCAGCACAGTTTTATGAATCGCAATTAATATTGGCTCCGTTTTGCATACTCGATAATAAGCAGCGAGCATTGCGCAAAGCTCGTTTTCAATCCAGACCAACTGATCAATGTCCATAAATAAAAACGAAATGACGCGGCGTTAAATTGATAGTTCTGTTCCACGTTGCACCAAGGCATAGGAGATGCAAATAAACGTCAAAAATAATGTTAGCCGTAATGGTGACCCAAATAATATGAATGCAATATATCTTACATTCCTGCTGGAGATGTAAAACTAAAAGGCATGATAATTCGTGAACTTATTTACAATGTGACTCAAAGAGACCTCTCACAGCTTGCCTTGTGCTTTCGTGCTTTTGAATGTCAGTCTGTACCAAACCATTAGGTTCCAGTGAGGCAGCCACGTCTCACCTGAATCGAATAAGGGATATAATAAGGTAATTTCTGTTCCCCTGACTGCTCGCAACCACATGGCGAATGCGAAAGGACTCTGGAATTATTCATAAAAAATGAAACAACGAAGTGAAAGGACTGTTGCTTTTTCATCTCGCAGCATTACTGAGAAATTATAAAAACGAAATGAAGAAATGGAAAGTACATATAGCAGCGCACCTTTTGAAAAACGAGCTGAAATCCCAAAACAATCATGTGGCCCAGAAACCATTCAGTGAGAACCAAAATAACACCTATAACAGCGCAATTCGCCATTCACGCCATTCGATTTTCATACATAAGGGCACCGGGCGCATCCCGGCGCTGTAGAAGTCAAACATTCCGCACAGCGCACTGCACATTACACAATGCAACTTGCGAGTTGCGCCGCTGCTCTGAACGATGCCCATAATGCAACAGACTTCCGAAACTCATCCAATACCCATGTCAAAGGACAATCTAAAACAGCCACCACTGAGAAGTCTCGCGAAAGAGAGCAGCTCACTAGGCTTTTTACACCAACCGGAGCCGGACGGGCTATTTACAGAAAGTAGAATGGCACGCAGTGCGTACAATGCACAAGCTATATCGGTCGTCACTTACATCGACATCTAATGAAAAATAACTGCCAGCATGGTTCACAGAACTAGAAGCATTAAATAGGAAAATCTTCACCGGCAGGAGTTTACTGGGGAATGCATAGTGGTGTGAAACACACACGGTCGAATCCGTAGGGCCAGAGGCCAAGAGGTCATTGCGAGGTCAAGTGTCGACGGACAAGCGTGGTGTCTTCGGCAGGTCAGCAGAAGGTATGTTTTAATCCAGTTTGAATCCGGATATGTTTTAATCCAAGATTCACATACGAATTACATAAACATGGAAAGGGAGAATTTGTTCATGGATAGGCGTATTAATGACTTGTGGTCTGCAATTTTACTAATGAAGGGAAAGTAGCTTCATCCAAATGGATCAAGCAGATTATCCGAAGGCATAACATTAATCTTATGATATCAGGCATGATTTTACGCTATGATGTCATGATTCGTAAAATACCTAATCAGATGAAATCATCTTCATGTAACTAAATAATGTATTACACATTTTCTGCCTACCAATGCACACAAAATTTCTATCACACGACTTGCAATAGGTACATGTACATGTAATATAGCGCTGCTCGATAGCTCACGACTCTATAAGTAGAAGGGAAAACCTAATCAAAGAATACCACTGGTTTACCGTTGTGAACATTGGTCTGCCCACAGCCCATGTTGCATTATCCGACAGACTTACCGAGAGAAAATAAAATGAGGTGGGTCGCCTTGAACGATCAAAAAGGCCATGGGAGTTCAATCCATTATCAGAAATATCAGAAACAGAAATAGCACTGATGTGTACGCCCATATGTTCTACTTGTCTGTTGATTTGGAAGTAATTTGCAGAACCGCTCCGGTCCAAACGATTTTTGATTGCCTCTCTGGCCGGTATCTCACACTCACTCATGCGCACCGGCAGGTAATCCGCAGTTTTCCCGTTTCATTTATCTCAACCCCCGGCAAAGGTCGGATGGCATCTCGACGGCACGTGTCGGCCACGTGAAGCACGTGGCGCCGTAATTGGCCGAGCAGCGCAGTTCCGTTTTCCGATTGGCGAGGACATTCTGTCTTCCGACGCGAGCTAGCGTCTCCGGGGATGTCACCTCTCAGCGAGTGAAATATCCGGAGCCTCTGCGACCTCTGTCGAGGCGAGAGCGCGCGGGGAGAGTGACGGGGACCGTCGGGGAGAGGGGGGGGGGGCGGCAGAGTGACGGTCAGGCACAGTGTAACGCACGTGACCGGACCAGTGGTGGTGCGTCCGACCAGTTCCAAGCGCCTTATTGCACCCCGAGCGACCGGTCCCCAGCCGCCGCTCTCGACAAGAGTTGGCTGAACTTGGACGGGCAGATGGGTAATTAAAGCGGGGGTCACTTACCTGCGAGTTGTTTGGCAGAGTAGGATCGAGTGGCACTCGAGCCGCCCTGAAACTGGAGAGAGAGGCTGTGAGAAACTTGGGGCGGAATGACGACGTAGTTGACAGCATTGTAATGCAAGGGCAGGGCACTGGTCGCTGATGCACTTTGAGCTGTAGCTGAGAAAGTAAGACCACGGGGGACCACTTACATTTGGGAGCTCCTACACGGTGAACGTGAAATGCATTCAGCTATTTCGCTTACTCATTAAAACTGCCTGAATCAAAAGAATGGCTCTAACAAGTCAAACCAATCTTGTAACAATGTAATAATCCAGCAGTCTTTAACCGATGAAACGTATTATAGGTGTGCTCACGAAATACATATGTCTACTTTTTTCGCGAAACTCAAAACGTTGCTTACTGCGTCCTCTTCAGATAGATAACTGTTGGAACCAAAAAGAAAGCACCTTTTGTAGACTGTAGTTGAAAAGTATTACGTCATTTCCGCTACGCGATAATGCCAATAGCGCTAATTACTGTTCGGACAACTTGAGGGTATCATTTATCAATTATTAGGATTGCTTGTATGTGGGGCCAAGGAACATCCGGTGAGGATAAATATTAGACAGCCAATATTTGTGAGTACTTGTTTGTACAATTTACACGATGAGAGATCTGGACATCAAAACGATAAATGTTATTAGCAAATAAATGTCGAGGACTGTAATCAATCACTCAGCCCAGGGATAGCCAAATCCAAACTCGGATACCTCAGGCAGGCAGATACCAGCGAAGATACACGAGCCTAGCAAATGAATGAGCCGCTCCCTGACTCCGATGAATGACACAACATTCCGCGAACGCCGTACGGTTCCCAGCATTGGCGCTAAGTGGACCGGTTCCCCACTCTGGGGTTTTAGCGACGCTAAAAGGCTGGATGGCATGATCTGCTTTTGCTGATGCGGAGCCTCTTACCGAAAGGATTAACACGTTTGGAGCCGCAGATTCTCAGTAAGATAGACCCTAAGTCTCAGGATTTCAGGTGCCACCACGTGCCAAAAGTAAGCAGCATCAATGAACATTGAATACCGTTAAACATTAAATTGCATTCATGCCATCGTCGAGCGGTTATGTGCTATAGGTTATCGTAGGGTACTGGGCTCGACACCGTTCTTTTTTTTAGAGCTATCAGTCAGAAATAACTGCGGTACCAAGAGTGATCGCCAGTGCGTAGCTTACCTAGTGAAACAGGCTGATAGTCCCAAACAAGCGATAGCTTCAGGTGTCGTATAAACCATGAACGAGGTTCAATTCCTTCCAGGATATAGAAAACAAATAAATCTAAAGACATCTTTAGCACAAAGGAGATTCAGAACAGTACATTTAGTTCGATTTAATCTACCTCAGCTCCAGGATAGACCATGTGTGTTTGTTTTGTTAGGTTAGGCTCTTTCGGTTTAACGAGACTATTGCAGAGCCGGAAGGATGATATGACGTAGGGGGAGACATTGGTCTGGGCAGGCACCCTTGTGAGTCGTCGGGGCTGGGCTCATCCACCCAGCCCCTGACATTCACTGCACCCGGCTACTGGGGGAGCTTCCCGCATGGGATAAAATTGCCCGTCCAGCTCGGAACGGGGAGGTTGAGGCGTGAAGGAGATGTATTTGATTATCCTGAGGATGCAAAAGACGGAACGGACCACCGAGTCACCGACCATCTTTTTTTTTGTTGGGTTAGGCCCTTTCGGTCCAATGAGACCATTTCAGAGCCGGGAGGATGATAGGATATAGGGGGAGACATTGGTCTGGGCAGGCACCCTAGTGAGTCGCCGGGGCTGAGCCCGTCCAGAGGACAGGCCACCCAGCCCCAAGGCACTCACTGCACCCGGCTACGGGGTGCGCTCCCTCGGGAGCAGCGGTGCCGCTCCAAGGGAGCAGCCCGCATGAGATAAAGTTGCCTGTCCAGCCCGGAGGGGGGTTGCGGCGTGGAGGAGAAGGATTTCAGTATCCTGAGGATAGAAGCATGGAACGGTGTGCCGACCATCTAAATAGGCAGCTTTATATCCATTTTGTGAGCTTCAACTGGACCATATGAGAGTCTATAGACCTCTCCCCTCTCCAGCAGCCGCCCAGCACCCACCTTGTTGAAATCCGCCTGTAGCGCCATCTGTGGCCTGCCGTTCGGTTTGTCCAGGGTCGGCTCCGAGCACGACATCCGTGCTGCCCTCTCCAGGTATAGATGCGAACTGCGCCGGCGCTGCTGCTGCCGCCCAGCGGCGTGTCGCGGAGGCTTGTCTTCCGTGGGTGGCCGCTCGTCTCCTGGCGTGCTGAGTGGTGACACGGCCGGGGAGGGAGGCCGGCGGCCTGGGGCGCGCTGCCGCGGCCTGCTCCCAGCCTCCCCCAGCTGCAGCTGCATGGGCCGCGCCGGTCGGCGGCTCGGGTACGGCCCGGCCACCGGCTCGGCCTGCTCGGCGAGCCGGTGCATCTGCTCGGCGCTCTGCCACTGCCAGGAGGTGGCCGCCGCCGCGCCGGCCGTCGGCCCGCTGGGCTCCTCCGAGCGCGCACGCAGCATCCGCATCGCCGGCCGGCGCGACATGGATGTGGTGGCCTCGCGTGTGGCCGGCGGCACGGGGCCGGGCCAGGGGCGCCGCTCGGCCCCGCTGTCGGCGCCGTCGGCCGCCGTGCGCTCGCTCAGGTCCGACCAGGAGGAGGCCACCGAGGAGGCGGGGCTCGTCTGAGTCGCCACCGTGCGGGGTCCTTCAGCTGTGGGGTCAGCCTCCAGGTCGGCTGTGGAGACCTCAGCAGGGGCTTGATCGTCCTGGGGCGTAGGGCCGTCGGTTGGACTTGGAGAGGGGTCAGATCCAGTCCCGTTGACCTGGTCAGTCTGGTCAGCACCAGAGGAGGCAATCGCACAGCTCTCAGTGTCAGGATCGCAAGGAGCTACTTGTTCACTTGTCTGGACAGCATCGGGCTTAGAAATAGAGTCGGGCTCAGGAATGCTCTCAGAGCCTATAGCAGAGCAAGTGTCCGAGCTGGTAAGAGACTTCGAGGTTTTGCGGGGCACGGATCCCGATGTAGATCCGGGAGCTGATCCTGGAGCGGATCCAGGAGCAGATCCTGGAGCAGATCCAGCGGCGGATCCTGTGGTAGAACCAGCGGCAGAATCCTGGGAGGACCCGGATCCAGATCCACAACCGTTGACAGATCCTTTGGCGGATCCCGTAGCCGAGCCGTGGCCGGATCTGGAAGCGGAGCCGTTGGCGGATCCGGGAGCCGAGTTGTTTCCGGATCCGGGGACGGAGCCGTAGTCGGAGCCGTGCTCGGGACCGCTCAGAATGCTCGTCTCCATGCGCCGCAGGAAGTCGGAGAGCTCGTCCGGCCGCTGTGGAAAGACGAAACAGAGGTCAGCTCAGGTCAGGTCAGATCGGGTCAGGTCAGGTTATGTCAAGCGGGGTCTTCATCGCGTTCCATCGCACATATTGTATTTGACAATTAATCAGTAACGTGAGCTACGTCTAGGTACAGTCTACACAAAAAGTACTGTGCTATATATAGACTACACTTATTCACCGTATAACAATGCAACAAAGCCAACTCTCACATCAGAAGTCAAACCATGACCAGACTGAACTGCTTCGACAAACACTCTTCACAGCTGCAGACGCAGTGCATGCGCATGATCAACGGACCGCGTTGCATCAGTTTGCATGCCAGTCTCTTCAGCTATTCAGCGAGATATCCGTCTCCGCCATGAGCAAACCCCATCCGTGTCAAACTGCACACCATTCACGCACGCACGGTCACGCCAGGTTAGCTGCGCACCGCGTGGTCTCCGCAGTTTAACCGGAGGTTGAGAGGTAACGCCCAAGAGCATAGCCGTAACGTTCTGAGAAGAGACCATATAGTGGACTCCCAGCGGACTCCTGTTTACTAAACGGACTCTCGTCCTCATCACAGGCTTCCATCCTCTCTACGGGATTCGCCTTTCTTACATGCTCTCGTCCTTCCCACAGACCCCTGTCCACTGTCCAGTTATCTATGTTACAACTATATAGTATCTCCGTCATCCCTACGGGTTCCTGGCTCACTGAGAAATTTCATCCTCAATGTAAACTCCAGTCCTCCCTGCAGACACCCCTCCTCCCTGCGGACTATCGTCCTCTCATCACTCATCAGCCACGCCAGACTCCAGTCACGTCCAACAGAGCCCCGTGCAGACAAGCATGGCAGGAATATGTAGCGCCGCCTAACAAACCAGCTCCATCACCGCCGGCGCTCAGATGCTAGCCGGGCAGCGCGCTCAACACAGTCTGAAGCTGGGTCAAGGCTTGGCTCGGGCGTTCCCAACCAAGCATTGATTCCGAGTAGGATAACTCGGCAATATCCACCGTCGATCATCGGCCATAGTCGAGTCGTGGACACGCCCCTCCGGGCCCGGTCAGTGAGTCGTTAATTAGCGTTCATTGCTCGTGCGGAACACGCGAGGTGGCTGCAAATATGGTCAGACGTTGGTCGCTGGCTGGCGAGGTTCGGTTACCTATAGCAGCTACGTTTGGCCTCAAACGAGCAATAGATTTGCTATACGGAATCATACGCGTCTATAAATTGAATATGAATGGGATATACGTGCAGATAGTCGACCAACTTAACGGTGGTCGGTGATATTTTGTTATTTCTTCTATATTCATTGCCCATGAAAAAAAATTGAAATCAGACAGGTAAACGATCGGCGATTGACCGATGTCACGCAATAAGCGACAACCGTTCACAATATAGCTATCTGAAAGCACAATGAAAAACACCATTCAGAAGTTTAAAAAAAAAATGTCATCGATAAGCAAATAATTCGAATAACTAGGTTTCCAGCCATCGCATCTAGATAGCATGAAGTAGAAGTAAGCGAACCCTAAAAGGACAAAAAAAAAATGAAGCTATAGGTAAAGCATTCTTAGGTACAGTTTGCAGGAAACCATCAATCTCATCATGGTCTAAGCCGACCAGCGAGTATGCAGTATCATAACGTCATTCTGACGTCACCTCGACACAGTCCGTACCAGGTAGGACGGACCGATATCGCGGTTCAGGTGACGTAGCCGTTGTCACGCCACACGCCCACGAATCACGGTACAGAGCGCGTAAATGAGCTCCGCTCTTGTGGAAAATGGAAGCGATATTAGCGTGACATTTTCAACATTTGCAACAGGTTTAATGAAGGGAACTTTGGGAGAAAGTATAGATGATTATGCCATCCAAGAGATACAAAAGTTGTTTTCAAAACACGACCAGCAGCCTTCAGTCGAGTGGTCTCACCGAGTCACTTGGTGTAAGTAACTAGTGAGAACGTTATCGATGTGTCATACGTCAAATCGTCACTGTGGGCGCACACACCGGCGTCCCCCACACACCAGCGAGTGCACTGAGTAAAGGTGTGCTGAAGCCCACACATTAGCCAGCGATAGGCCCCTGCACGGCTATCAGAGCGCCAACACGGAACACCCTTCCGCGACCGGCGACCTCAGAACAAGGTAACGCCTGTCCCAAACCCGGCCCAGTTTGCTCAACGCCCATCGTCGGTGTTAAACACGAAAGTGATGTCATTCATCACGTCATCCACATCAACCCACGTCACTCTGATCGGTCTGCTCGTAAGAGGACGTGACAAAATGTCAGATCGACAGAAGTTACCGAGTACGAGCTCGACGTTCTCAAGAGGCAGGCGGAAATGTAAAGATCAGTGATCTGGCAGAAAGGTCGGGAACTGTTCTTTCCCAGGATGAGAAGTGATACGTCGTTAAGCTTATTCGAACCGTCCATTCTGTGGCGTACTTAGGAACTTGGTCGAGTTTACGGTTTAGATCCGGTAACTTTGCCTACGATATATGCAACACACATCACACTCAGACACGCATACGAGATTCGAGCGATGCCTATCAAAATAATGCCTTCGTGTTGAGGATTTTAATTTTGACATTGACATTGGCATATTCCTTTTCAATAAAGTAGTACAGTCTGTCTCGAAAGTACCGCAGCATGGCGGGGTGGCGCTGGTGATCCGGCGCGGCGGAGGGAGGTCAGGTTTGAGGGCCACTGGATCGCCTGACCCTTGGGGAAGGGAGGGGGGAGGGAGGAGAGGGTTGGGCGCGAGTGAGCGGGTTCTCGGTGCTGCCAAGTGCCAGTGCGGCAGACAAGGCGCTGTTTTATGAATACCTTATACAGAGACACCAGCTAAGCGCAGTAATTATTTTCCTGACACGAAAGTTTTGATAAATAGAAATTGATGCTTCCCTTCCGAGCCTCGCCAGACATTTACGTGTTACACATGTAATCCGGCCAGAGGGTAGCGGGTGCGGCCTCCGTCGTTTGGCTCAGATTAAGCTAGGGCTTCCAAAAAATTGTGTGCGTGGTTACGAGACACAGTGACTGGTAACTACTTTTAACATTCCCAGTATTGGCCGCTTTATAGCGTCTACTGATGGAAATGGTTCGTAGGAACCCGCCTTACAGCAGTTCGGCTCCTGATCGGCCATGTAAAATGATCAGGTCGGCCCTGAATCACAAAATGCCTGGAAACGCGTGGATAATATGCGCTGACATGCATGGAATCGGCATCTTGGGCTGACATAGTATCGAGAAAGAGGTTACGGGTCAAAGGCCATTGGGTTCAGGGTCATGTTTTTAGGGAAGATATAACATTGGTCAATTCGAAGATATTGAAAGTTTTGTCGTGGTCGGTCGTTCGGTCGCTTTTTACGCGAGTTATTTGTGAAAAAGCTGTGAGGGACGCATCGGTTTGAACTCCTCCTGTAAGTGTGAAGGTTAAGATATCGGGTCAATCGCTGATCTCTCGAGCATTATTCAGTGCCGGCGAGCATTATAACTTTTCCTGAGGTTTTGTTAAGAAAGGATTTAAAATCACTTATCAGGTATGGGTGGAGGGATGTCTCGCACCCCCCCCCCCCTCCAACGCAGCAGTGTGCAGAGAGCCTGCTTTTAAGTAATAAATCTAGCCAGCTACTTTGAAGCCGAAAATATAAAGAAAAGGGGTTCTGAGTCGCGACGGCGCTGTTCCGACTGAGAGGGAAAGAGAGGGAGAGAGAGGGAGAGAGAGAGAGAGAGAGAGAGAGAGAGAGAGAGAGAGAGAGAGAGAGAGGAAGAGAGGATTTTTGATAGATCGTTAAACGAATAAAATTCACACTATACAGTCCCGTATGATCTCAACTCTCATCCTGAGCTGAACAGTGAACAGTGAGCACTCAGGAACTGAAAGATTTATTTGCCGCTACCTGTTAATACCCATTATCTCAGTGACCTCCCGCATAAATCCGCATAATTCGTGTTTGGTATACAATTATCAAAGTGATCGTAACCTCTACCTGGAAGTAGGCGCTACGAACAATTGCTTGGCCATTTGATCGTAAAAAGAAAATATTTGCCTGCAAGTTTCATGGATAGGAAACAAAGGAGTATAATGGGCTGGTTATTTTGTGATGTTTTTTATGTAGGAGCCATTGGTTGTCTATAGTTTGAATGGTTCGAAACGTTTTTTTTTTTTTTTTTGGCATGATAGTGATTTTACTTGTAATGAGATGGAAGAAAAGAAGACGAAAAACACCCAAGTGTATGATATGCTTTGGCTTCCTTTAGTTATGAGCAAAAGCCGCAAAAGGTTTCCATTCCATCTTACTTCCATTCGCTTTCGCTTTTCGTGTTTCAATCTCAACAAGGGTGGTGAGAATGGTATTTCTTTTTTATCTCGCATAGATAAATCCGAAACAAATTACCTTATCCTAAGTTACTGGATCAATCGATCAGATGTTAGCCCATAGTTCTGAGACTTTCGACAAAACTACTGCGTTGGCATTGTTCTGTGTTGTTATTCACATCATTACTTCAGTTTTATTACATTTATTCTGTTCCGTTCCATGATCGTAACTTATTGTTCAATATGTGCCATGTTCTGATAACAATGCAAGCAGTCGCGCTCATCCTTTAGATTGGCTACGTCTGTCTTTTCGTCGAGAATAAAGCGGTTCCAACTTCCAAGGGGGATCCGGCCACCGGGGGATCGGACGGGCCGGTCAAGTTCTCCACTCGTGCTCGCAGACGGTCTGTGCCCTCGGGCGACAGGCGCCGCAGCGGGGTGGAAAGAGTAAGGGAGAGCGGCACCCCACGCGACCTGCTCGGTCACTCTCTCCTGGCTCGCTGCCGTCACGTGCTCTGGGGCTCTCAAACCACCGAGCTCCCGACCTTCAGTTCGCCGGGCCGCCGCAGCCCATGCTGCGGTACTTTCAAGACAGACTGTACACCGTGGCTTTAATCGGGTTCATCCAGGGATAAAAGGGGATAATATAAAGCAACTGAACAGTGGGACAATGTCCAATGTCCACGCGAATCTCTTTATCAGCGATACGTCCATCGAAAAGAACAGCCGAACGAACGAACAGCCTTTCTTTCTGATCAAACCTTTCAATCCCAACCTTGACACTGATACAAAGAACCATGGGACTCTCACGGCCTCAAATGCCAGCCTGAAGCCATGACCCCACTAAATGACACCCACGACACCTTACCCTCCATATGGACCCATCGCCCCTGAACCCGCAGCCTTTTGCGACCAGCGACAGGAAATCGTCAGACGCACCGGACAGTGTGGGTGGGCAGACAGTAGCCGAGGACACTGCGGACAGTGGTCGCGGACACTGCGGACAGGGGGCGGAGGACACCGGTCGCGGACACGACCGGCCCGGCCACCGGGAAAGTGGAACAGCGGCCAGCTGGCGTGGGTGTGGACGGTGGACTGTGGAGGTGACCGACAGGCCGATAGTCGCTCACGGGCGGAGTATATCTGATCAGAGCCAGCCGCCCACCCAGTGACTACTTGTGAGCGACGGTGATCCAACGGGAAACGCGACAGGCCCTGGGTGACAGGATGGGGAGGAGAATGGGTTTATGGCGTATAACACTTTGTTTGAGTGGCAGCGGACTACTTCCAAGACGGATTGTATGGGAACAAACGGTGTCCACTGGCGATTGTTTGGGTGTGTGTTCACGTTTTATTGTGGGCGCTAATGGCTGAAGAATGAGTGAAAAGTGGAACTTGCCTCACGGAGTCCCACAAGATTTAATGCTGATTTGAATTGAAAGGCCTATATTGTAAAAACATAACAAATTATCTAAAAAGTATTCAATTTAATGACAATAAGTTAAGAACCAGCCACATTCATTTACCCGCCACGGTCCAGTTGAGTAACAAAGTTTTCAGCTTTATTTCGTGACCGTCACGTCAGCCGTTGCTCGCACGTACGGCCGTTCCGGCACGGCACGCACCAGCCGTCGGCACGTGCCACGGGCTGGCACGGCCGCCCCCCCCCCCTCGGATCACCCCCTCCCGAGCGAGGCAACTCAGTCGGCATGGCCAGACAGACCCCCGCCCCCACCCCACCCACCGGGTACGGATGCTGACGGAACGACCGATGGCCAAACCACCAGAGGCAGTGCTGATGGACGAGGCCAGAAAAACGCGAAACGCACGGCGCCGTCCCAAAATAGCCTGGGCGAATGATGCATTACTGTCTAAATTGCAAGCAGTAAGCGACGGTTAACCTGTTGGTATGCTCTAGCCAGGCGCAGACTTCGGTGCATCACAAATGCAGCTAGCTTTGGAAACTCGGGTGAGCTGTGAATGACATGGCGGCTCGCGTAGCATGCTACCTTACCGACTGCGGTGATGACCGTTCAAAAGCACAAGAGCGGTCCTCCCCAAAGCAACGCACCTTGTCAGGGCTCCTCTATCCGATTCATCACACCATCTCGACCAGCACCAGTGACAGAGAGCACCACCTCCGCCGCAGTCTGTCCTCCAGTGAACACCTCACTCGATTCCGTCTCGATCGCTGTCACCGTTCACACGCCGCCTCACACGCAGTCCTCGACCGCCTCCCGACGTCCGCCACAGTACAGCAGTGAGCCACCACTCGACGAACCGACCGTCACCGCCCCTGCGCCTCCGCGCCGGCAGTGGCGGCGCCAGGCGCACGAGCAGGGAGGCCGGCACGTGACGGGCGCCCGCGCGCCGGCGCCGGCCGCCCCTTCTGCGTGGCGATTATCTAATCAGCGACGGCACACAGAGCAGACGACCGTAATTAGATTGTGCCCGGTCGCGGCCGCCACTTCTCTTCGTCACACACGAAGCCATGCGGGTGGGAGATAAGATGGACGCCGCTGACCTCGGCTCAAAATCCCCTCCACGTGCCACTCGCCGCCCGTCGCCGCGGCGGCGAAAGGGGCGCGGCGAGACGCCCGCGGCGCAGAGACAAACATGACGCAGAAGCGGCGCGACAGATGCGTCGCTTCTGATACAAATTTCGGCCGCCCGATCGACAAGCGCCGCCACTGAGCCGGAAATAATACAAATCGAGTGGTGAAAATACCGCACGTCACATCGGCGATGACAGGGCTGGGTCGGGCCATCAAAACAGGCACGCATCCCCGGGTAATTTGGATTTCCCCACCACTCGGTCCTCCCCTGACAGCTCCCTCGCTATTTTGTTCGGGCCAATCAAAGCGGCATTTCTCGCTATTTACGGCGCACTTACGGCGCTGTCCGGGCCGTTTCGGCGATCGGCACTGTTTTGTTTCCCATTCCGATCGTGCCAATCGGCCCGTACGGACGGCTGAGCCTCTGAACAGCGCCGCTGTTTGAATTTCACAGCCAACTTTCATCGACGCAGAGTCGACGAACGCCGCCCTGAGTTTCGTCGACAGTCAGGATTTCTCTCAGGCGCTTAGAGACGCCAGGAAGTTAGTAACAGGGACTAGGAACACGCTTTATCTGCATAATGATCAACGATAGCTACATGCTTGTGTGAGGAATTTCGAGTGATGAAACACAAATATGACATCATTCATCGGCATTTATAAGTTCAAAACCTGGCTTTCCATAACGTGCGTGCGTTATACTTACATCTCAGAACTATCAGCTAGGCGGTACAGTCTAGCTTCAGGCGTTTCACACTAGTGCCATCTATGGAACGTAAATGGAACCAAGGGCCGAACAGGGGCTATCGACGCGACGCATGAAGTTGGTTGGCAGCCGCTTCCAGTAACGTGACCATGGCGAAGTAGAAGGCATTTTGGGAAAACATCCAGTGGCGGCAGAACACCTTCAATTAAGGGGGGGGGGGGGCACTGCCGACTTATGGTACCATTCTTTCCATGCAACGCCCATAGGACTAATGTTAAAATGACAAAATCAAAGGGCACCGGGGCAGGCACCGGTGCCCCGGTGCCCCCCCCCCCCCCGTTCCGCCGCCTATGAAAACATCTACCCCTATACGTTACATTGATTTGGCAAAGTATAACTTATACAATGGCCATGGTTTTCCCTGCAAGTCAGAGAATTTCCAGCGACATCTGTCATAAATTATGTGACGGAGCGTAGTTAGCAAGCAGCCATTGGCGCTGCTCACACCAAATGATGATGCAAATACGAAGATGGAGACGCCGACAGTAATCACAATGCTATAATGCAGATACATGTTCCTTGAAACTGACAATCCTTGCATATGCACGTGAGCACATGCTGTCAATGTCTGCCAGAGAATGACGATAGCAAGCAAGATGGGATGAATAGTGGAAAAAACCAACTGATTGCGCATGCCGTTTGTCTGAACGCTTCGTTTTGCGAAAAGACATAAAATATGAAAACCCTTCAGAATTGGACAGAACTACCGTCGAATCAAAGCACATAAAACGTTATAAAAGATGTTTGATTAACTAAGTATCAGGATCAAAATTGTTTGAATAAGTAGCAAGGTCAATTTGTAGCCATCCATTCGAATATTTTTGCTTCTATCATTTTCATTGCAGGCATTCCAACGTCTTTTGAATTAGCAAACGTCGGACACTTTGTAGCGCAAACTTAAGACTGTTAAGCTGAGATGAGGTAAAGAAAAGAGGGAAAAGCCTGTAGGAATGTAGGAAAAGGGAGAAAGGAAAACAGCAAGAGAGAAAGAGAGAAAGGAGAGAGAGAAAGAGAGAGAGAGAGAGAGAGAGAGAGAGAGAGACAGAGAGAGACAGAGAGAGAGGAGATAAGTAAATAAAAATCCACAGACCGGGGAACCAAAAAGACGCCTTACAAAACTCATAACAAGGTGATAACACGTAGCCCGAGAGAAACATCGGCTGGAAGCTGATAAAATGATTTTAGGGCGTATTGCCTCCCCTATTGCTAATTGTTTTTCATCAAAGGGGAAATCGTTTCAAAGTTTGGCGCACAAACCTTTGTCGAAGAGATTAATATCTATCTACGCCATCCGTTCTGGCAGTTGAGTCAACGATTATCGCTACCGACTCAATCGGTAGATTCCAGCTTTACGAACACAAGCCAGTGCCCAAGTATACTTTGTCTACTCACGGGCCTGGGTTCCTCTGTCAGGTCATTAAGCAGAACTCAGTTTTCTCTTTCTGCAGACCCACTCAATCCCAAGGTGCTGACCTCATGTCTCCCAGGGAAGTTTCCTGATGGTCCTTGTGCGTAGTTCATGAGCCGCCGCCCGCATGTAAGGCTCGACCATACATCACTGTTGCCGATCGGCATCGATCTGACGTCAGGAGACGCGTCTGCGACCTTGGCACGGCGACCCTGAACGGCCCGAAAAGGCGCGCGGCCGCGCCACGGCGTCTGGGCCGACGCACGTCAAATGAGCTGCAGCTGCGGGACCCCCCCCCCCCCCCCAGCTCCTTTCAGCCCCCACCTCCCTCGGGGTCGAGAGATGCCGGCTCCAGAGACAGCTGAGCGAGACAGCCGAGACAGGCATACCGAATGGTGTCTGTAATACGGTACTGGTGTGAACCGTTCAAAGCGCACACCTGGGTCTCAGGACTTCACTGGGCACTGACACTGACACCGACACAGCTAAATGGTGATCCTCACCCAGCGCGAACAGTGCATATAGATCAAACCCTGGCTGGCCTCTGCCTCCGTCTGCAGTTCTGAATTGATTAGCGATGGTCTCGGCGGAGGGAGCTGCAGGGGAGCTCGTCTGACGATAAAGCCTTCTGCGCGCTACAGCCGTGACAGGTGGGGTCCGACTGTGACCTTCCGTTGGACACCGTGTCCTACTGAGCCCTGACGACCTCACATTATACCGTGTCCCCAGGACTGGCAGGAACATGACACGAAGAGTGGTACGAAGAGGGGACTGCGACGGCAGTAGCTGCACTGGACACAGAGGGTCATCCATTCCGATTTCTGAAGCGGAGAGAGCTGGGAGGGACAGTGTAATCCGTGGTGACTTACGCTGGAACGTTTGAAAGGATTCTCTTCGGTGAGTCTTTGTCAAGTGTGATGAAACTCGAGAGGAAGTTCGGTACTAATCAAATGCTAACCGTATGCGCAAGCTGCGTGTTCCCATCGTCGATCGTTGAATATCTTTACCTGCTTCTGAAGGCTGTCTTTTTAAGCTGGGACGGACTGTCAGGTCCAGTGCGGTACCAAGCTGTCGTATGCGTTCTCTGCCAGCTGGTACATTTCGCTGGCGAATGGCAGCGCGACACAGCGTGGGTGGTGGTGGCGGCGGCGGCGGCGGCGTGGGCGGGGACCATGCTACTCACCGTGTCTCATTCTCCCCGCCCCCACCGCCGCCGCCCGCGACGCGCTACGACCGGTTCTCTCCCAGGACGCGCCCTCCCTCCCCTCCCCTCCCCCTGACCCCAGCCGGTACCTCCCGGACCTCCCAGCCATGACCTCAGCGGCGCGGCGGGCCGCGGTGGGAGGGGGAGGGGAGTGGCGACCTCCCTCCACCACCCACACACCCACCGGGTCGCCAACAGGACTGGCTACTGCGCAGTGTCGCCAGGTCTGTCATCCGCGCGTCTCCAGCGACACGAGCCGGGCCTAATTGGCGACAGCTAGTGTCAACAGATCGACACCGGTCACAGCTAATTGGAATGGTGTGAATCAGACTCAATGAACTCAAATTAGTGGCAGGCGAAGCGAGTGATTACACGTGTTAGGACATGTTGGGGGAGCAGGCATGATTCGTAGCGGTAGATTTGCTCTGAACGAGTGAGGGATGTTGACCTAGTCTTTGCATCTGACTTTGATTTCGAAGCAGCTGGGGTTACGATCGCATGCTAAGTTCGCACCCATCCGCACGACAACATACACTATCGCTCGCCACGTGTGGTAGCGTTCGATAAACAACTTTTCTGCAAGTTTACAGAAAGGATACGCCAAAACCCAGAAGTCGAATGAACTCATCCAGGCGTGATCTCAAACATTTCAGTAAACTGTGACGAAAGAAGTCGGCTGCGCCATCAGCCGGATACAGATCCACCAATCGACCAGTGAGCTGTTTCCGAGCCAACTTCTACCAGCTTTAGTGTCCGGTGGTGAAGGAACGGCTCCCAGGAACAGCAGCGTTCTCGTCTAAACATTTGCACGCCGAGCAGCGGCCACGCGATGAGAATCAAATAGACTGAAGCCGTTCTCTGTCACGGTGGCCGGGACGATGAAAAGCGCGCCTGTCCGGCCGGAGAGGACCGGCTCCCAGCGGTCCTCTGGAGCCGCCTGTCGGTTCAAATACGGCCCGGCCCGGTCAGGGAGTAGCCTGATAAAGGGCTCAGAATAGTGGGGTCAGGTGCCCATCCCGCCCACAGTCGGGCGCATTGCGTGCTTCGACCATAGCTGAATGAATGGAGTTCAGAGCGCGGCCCTGCCCATTAGGCCGTATAAGGGCAGCCGTGTTTAATATTCCGCCGGTAAGGCGCCGCCGATTCACATTCACAAGTAGCAGCTGGGGCCGCGGAGCCAGCGCCGCGCGGCGTCTGGCTCCCCTCTGCCGTCCAAAGGCAAAAACGCATATGTCGGGTCATGACCTGACCCGACATATGCGGTTTTGCCTTTGGACGGCAGCCCTGGCTGTCCGACCCTCGGGCCGGCTCAGCCGCATACAGCAGGAGCTTTGATACCGGCCCAACAGCGCATATCAACGACCTTTCTTCAATGCGCACGTACGAGCGCAAACAGCGAGACACGAGGCAATCGAGCGAGCAAACACGGATGCACGATACCGTCAGCCGTGTAAGGACGTAATAAGACTGATAATTTACGACACATGACCCGTGTTAGTGCTCGTAACATGAACATCACATGGCTCTCCAAGGTCACAAACACAGCAGGACACAATCTATGGAACAACAACCCGGACAGGCCATAAGCCACACGGCTGCAGAACTATCATAACACAGCGACTCACCGGGTGAAATAAAACTCACGCTGGTTGGCATGAAACCAAAACACATCAACCCGACTGAGCGTGACCGGGTGGCGACAAATGGACGTACTAAAACTGAGACACATCCGGCACAGAGACCTGAGGAGGATCCTCGACGACAAAGGTACTCACCAGGTTTGTGGATGAGAGGGTGGACGTGTTGGAAGACGTCCTTCTGCCGACAAAATCGCTGTCCGTGTCCTCAGCGGCGGCAGGCTGCTGCGGGTCAGCAAAAGTGTCCTCTCGTACATTCTCCTTGTTGTCCTCTTGTGTGTTCGAATAAGTATCCAGGCCAGTGTCCGGTTTATTGTCCGGATGTAACTCCGGATTGATATCACGATTGGTGTCCGGATGAGTTTCCGGATTAGCGTCTGGATGGGTGTCCGGCACCAGCGCCAGAGCTCGGCTCAGGTGCGCCGCCAGTGCCGCCGCCTCCTGTCCGCTCCTGGCCGCCGCTGCCGTCGGCGGCGGCTCTGCCCGGCCTCCCCCCATGATCACTCCGGTGTCTCGGATAAAATAGGCCGACAGTCGGCCCCTGCCGGGCCCGGCCAGCAGCCAGGCGTCCCGGCCGGCCGCCAGCGGCACCCGCGGTTGGCCCGTCGCCGCCGACACCCCCGCGGAGCGGCCCGGCGGTAGCTCGACGCTGCGGGGGCGCAGTGGCCGGCGGCGCGGCGCCCGACGCACCGGCGCCGATCCAGAGCTCAGAGGACTCTCGCAGCGGCCCGAGTCGACACTCTGACTGCGCACCACTCGTCCCTGCGGCTGGGAGGACACGGCGCGTGCGGCCGAGTCCAGCGGAGCAGTCGACGTCGCCGGGCTCGTGCAGGTCCCAGAGTCGACGCTGGCGCTGCGGCGCGCGGAGAGAGGCGCCGTTCGACCCACCGGCTCTGGCTCCTCGTCGCTGTCGAGCTCAGCGGACGGGTACGAGCGGCGGGCGCGCGCGCGGAGCTGGCGTGCCTCCCGCCGGCGCGACACGGGCCGAGGCAGCGAGGTGGCGCCCTCTGGACGCGCGCTGTGCGCCTCCTCGATCAGATCCAGGTGGCGCTGCGCCCACGCGCTGAAGCCCTGTTTCGGGTCCTTGATGCGGTACTTGTCAAAGCTGCGCTCGCCAGCGTCGGGTGATTTCGGTCTCTGCCAGAGGTTCGGGTGACTAGCTCCACGCTGTGGCTGCTGCGTAGCTCCGTGTGTCGGCCTGTTTCTCAAAACAGCACCGTTCTCTCCTGTCGTACCAAGCCGCAGTCGGGGAGCGCCACCGTCGCCGCAGCGCAGCCTCAGGGACGGCGCTGAGGAGCGACACAGGGCAGCGGTGCGTGCGATCGTGGGAGACACGTCCCCACAGCCGGCGCACAGGCAGACACCCTCGTCAGGCGTCATTCCGCCGCCGTCCGACCAGAAGTCGACGGCCACCGCCAGCGGCGCTGACTCCGAACGGACCAGACGGCGCTTTCGACGGCGGCGCGTCCTCACCCGCCGCGCCCCCTCCGTGGAGTCTGGGGCGTCACCTCCTCTTGATCCATTTGCTGTGCTCGTATGTGCAACATCCGCAACTGTGGCATGCTTCAGTGCACTTTCGGTTGTCTTTGATGTCACTGCAGCCCCGCTTGTAGTCGGAGCATCACCAGCTGTCATCTCACGCTCGGCATTAACCTTCTCCTGTCTTCCTGTCGTGTCTCGCTCATTGCTCGACTCAATCTCGGCATAGTCGTGCGTGGATCCGTTCTCCAGAGACGACTCCCGTCCTCCACCGGCCTCCTGCCACTGAAGCGGCGACTCCCTCCCGTCGAGCTCCGACAGCTCAGCCAGCTCCTCGAGCTCCACACCACTGCCGAGCTGTGCCAGCTCCGCTGGTCGCTGTACGGGGCTCAGACGCTGCACCAGTCGCTCCAGGCGGCCCCACGACTGGCGCTCCTCGTCCTGGGCGCGTTTGGCTCTCAGTTTCTCCTTCCACCTCTCCAAGCCGCGCTGACGCAGCTTCTCTTGCCACCGCTCCAGGTGAGGGTTCCAGGGCTCCTCTGATCCAGGAGACTCGGCGGACGTCGGGCTTGGGCCGGCTCCGAGAGCCACCAGGGCGGGCCAGTCGAGCGGCTCCAGCAGCGGAGAGGAGGCGTCCCCCAGCTCTGCCAGCATGGCGGCGACTGAGACCGGCTCAGTGGAGCACGGCGACGGAGCAGAGGCCGAGCGGATGGCCGGGGGGCGCGGGCGGACGCAGGCCGGCGGACTGGCGGCCGTCTGAAACACAGAGGAGAGACGGTAGGTTAGAGGTGGAAGTAAACCTCAGTGTGCTGCATCAACCATAAATGCTAAATAACTCGGCACATTTTGACAAATATTTAAAGGAAATAGCGCAGCAAAGTGAGCTTCGACATCCTGAGGGTCTCCTCGGGATAGGTATTCAAGGAGCAACCAACTACATATTGTGGGGCTGCGGTCAGCACACTAACCCACAAATAAGACATCTGTGACACATCAGTGTAACAGTCACCGCGACAAAAAGACGAGATTTATTCTCGGTCAGAGACCGGCCATGATTGGTATGCAGAATCGTAGAACAGAGGGACCACTATCAGGATACGAAAGCTCCAGAGAATACAAATGAAGATAAGTTCACGGTCTTAGCTCAACGCTTATTCACGCACGCAGAAATATGTAATGGAACATTAATAAGCACGAATATTCAAACATGCTTAGGTGTAATTATTTTAAGGAGGTAACGACAGCTAATAGTTGGTAATTGCTACATCAAACGCAACGGTGCTGATTTAATATTACCCAATTAACCTCCATCTCCATCATAAATACCGAATTCATCGAACCCCTAAAAGCAATAGCCTTCCTGGGAGCTAGAAATAGTGGCTTTAAGATGCTGTGGTTGGAGAACTGGCAGCTCATTTCTAATGTACGGTGAGTGATCGTAAGTACTACGCGATCAAAGAAGAATGACGTGACTAGTTTTATTATTGTCCGTTAGCAGGCACGCAGAAGATAGCAGCGGCGTTTCCCGTTAGACGACGCCGAGAGGCACCGTTGGCTATTACCGCTTGGAAGGTGCGGCACAGCGTCACCAATTACACGCTCCATAAACTCTGCTGGCTGACTTCTTCATCCAAAAGAATATATATATAGCGATGACTTCATGCTTAATTTTGATCGGACAATGCTCGCCAGCTTGCATCATGCTGCTAATTACATAACTGATTTAGCTCTGGCATCAAATACCTAAATTTGCAAAACACCAAGAGCTGTTATGGCAACAGCATCTCAGATAAAATATTGCATGAAAATCTACATAACTAACACTCACGTCACTTTAATCGCCATACAAAACAACCAACAGAGCCCGTTTCCACCAATGAAGCGTCGGATAAGATCCTCTGTGCCTCCGGGCTACCGCTGATATTGTTCTATGCAGCGATACAGTCTCCAGAAAGGGCGTCTTTACGGGGCGGCTCGGCGATATAGCGGGGCGCGGTGGCGGCCAGCCTGTGAACCCCTCCCGTCCAGCCTCCGCAGCCGCCCATGTCAGGTCACCCCCGGGCGTCAGCGGCCAGCAGCGGCCTTCGCTGGAGCACCCGTTCGGCGGCCGGCCGTTTTGTTTCGAGTGGCTCGTGACTCGTGCTGAGAGGCCTTCGCTCAAGGAGTCCACCGCTGCTCCGAGCGCCGCTGTCACGCTTTTCACGCCTTCTCCTCCTCTCCCCGTCTCCTCCGCCTCCAGCGCCTTCTTAGCTGCCCTCTGCCGACGCTCCCCCGCTGGCTTCCGCCGCCTGCATTAATTTACAGCACGGTGGGGCTTTCAAGGTGGCCAACGATTTATATGAGCCCGCACGGCGGTAACTGTCGGAAGGCAGCACCTCCTCATCCCGGAGAGCAGATACCATCTGGATTGAGCTGGCGGCGCACGAACAACATCCCGAATCCCACAGACAGACACAATTAAAAACCAGCCCCATAAATAACACGGGCTTTCACGGAGTCTGTAATAACAGCGGCCGGCAGCCCGGAGGGAGACTGAAATAATCACTCGGAATGAAAAAAAGCAATGCAGCTCACAACACCCCATCATCAGAAAGTGAACAAAAGGCTGATGATACAGCGGAGTGAAATAAACAGCGGCAGCTTAAGCTACACGCGGCAATGAGATCACCCAGCCGTAAGAAACGCATTCACGCGTAGCCTTTCCTGCGTTATCTACCACCTCGCCTACCCCGCGTGTTGCCAGTAATATGTCCGCTAGTCCGAACTCCCTTCAGTGAGCGAGCGGTGCGTTCGACAGGTAGTGGCCTTCACTGTTGCGAGCCGCCGCTGGGGGACCGTCGAGGGCAGCCCTATTACGTCATCGGGTCAGCGACGGATCGCCGGCCGGCCCGCACCGTGAACACTCACCACCGGCTCGGGATTAATTGACCCACCTAGAGATAACGAGACGAATAGTGGCCAGTGCACAGTGGGGGAGCGACATGTCCTGAGAGGGACTGAGAGGGGCTTGAACGTGAGCTGAGCCCGATCGCTGCCAGAGGCCGAGTCAGACCCGAATGAGGCCCGAGCAGTGCAGCCAAAGCAGGAAACTTCCGTGGACTGTGCAGGTCCTAGCAGACCACGAGAAGGCCCGGCGTGGCGATGTGGGCACTGGGTACGCCTTGAGCCGTCCGTACGGCTTGAAAAGGCCACACGACCGTGCCCGGGATATGAAATTGTATGCAATCACTCAGCGGGCCCCGCGATACGAGCCTCCTGCAAAAACGCCACGTCACGCCGACTTAATCGGCCCGATTACATGTTTCGATCGAGCCATGGCTGGCTGGGATGGAGTTGGAGTCGGTTGGAGTCGGGGTTGAAGTCTAAGGGGATTGAAGTCCCAGTCGGGTTTGCGAGGGGAGTGGAGCTGCAATGCGAGTCGAAATTTCAGTTGCTTCCCGAATGGAAGTCTCCAACGATTGACTGACTGATAGCCTCGGCAATTTACTGAAATCGAAATACAGCCTAAGTGACCCTCTATCACCTCGAGCACCAGGGGCGGATCCAGAAAATCTCCAAGGGAGGGGCCATTAGAAACCAGGAGGCCCCCATAATCCCACCTGTTGGAGGCCCCATCTTCCCACTTGTTGCCCCCCCCCCCAAAAAAAAACTGCGTCTATTGAGCTTATCTAGCTGTTCAGGCAACATCTCAACATGAATAGCCACTTTATTTTCAGGAGGCCCCCTTTTCAGCTTTTTAACTTTTTATTTTATTTTTGAAAAAAATCGGCCAAGGGGGGGGGGCCATGGCCCCCATGGCCCCCCCCCCCGTGGATCCGCGCCTGTCCACACAGCCGCTATTTGAGTTCGGAAGTGGCCAAAATGCGATAACTCGTTAACCAGTTGACATTTTGCCAAGGAATTTTTATTATATGAGAAGTAAACCGTAAGGTCACGTATGGAAACGTATGAGCATCCTGCTGATCCAGCATTGCCGTAAAATATTTTTGCCTGTAATCCGCGGATGACGGGTATATCCCATAACGTGGGTGACTCGGGAGCGGATTCTGCATAGCTTCCCTGCTGTCTTCGAAACTACTCGTTCAATACCAAAAATTCAAACGGCTTATGATAGGAATAGCTGACAAACGAAACCTAAATTTGTCACAAAAGCTCATGGAAAGGTCATGGGTCACAAAAGGTCATGGAAAAGGTCATGGAAGGAAATGTATACATTTTTAAGGTCATGCGACACATCTTTATTGGTTCATTTCGGCAAAATCACCTAAAAATGATGTCATCTGGGTCGTCCGATTCGAAACTATTTCCATTCGACGAATGAAGGTCAGGTCAGGGCGAGGTCAAAAAGGTCAAATTTTAAGTTGAACATTCTCAACAAAAAAGATGTGCATCGGATGCAATTTGAGCTCTGGAACACGATGATCCTATTCGTTTTGGTTTTCGATGTCAAGAACGTACTGAAATTGCCTTTGCAATATCGAAAATTGTGATTAACCGAACTACGGTAAAATGCAAAAGCCGATAACATTGCCATTTCTTAAGATATTTAACTGAAAGTTTCCAAAAGCAATGCAAATGTTACACACAAAAGCCAATAAGGTTCATTCTGGTCGATGGCTGCTCCCCAAAACTCTGAATGTTATCAACCATATCGGACATTCCTACCATGTTCTGTTGGCTGGATGTCTTTTTGCTTTATTGAATTTGATCAGACTATATACATTCAGTCAAGACGACGTACAGCCCACCGCTAAAGTAATGTGTGGTTTTACCAATGTCAACGGATGGCTTTGACCGACGATTTTTAAATGCGGACTGATTGAAAAGAAGACGTCAATAGATAAAGTTGTAGCTGCAAGGGTGAAGATACATGTAAGCTACATTTAAAGTCTCGTTGTAGTCTGGCTAATCGTTCCTAGGCTTCAGAAGCAGAACATACCCATGACTGAAACCACACATTACTTCTGCTGTGGACTGTACAGTCCACAGCAGAAGTAATGTGTGGTTTCAGTCATGGGTATGTTCTGCTTCTGAAGCTTAGGAACGATTAGCCAGACTACAATGAAACTTTGAATGTAGCTTATATGTATCGTCACCCTTGCAGCTGCAACTTTAGCTATTGACATCTTCTTTTCGATCACTCCGCATTAAACAATCGCCAGTCAAAGCCAACCGTTGAGATTGGTAAAACCCTACATTACTTTAGCGGTGGGCTGTACATTTATTGGTCACCAGAAAGTATACCCACAAAACAATCGACAATCGACAACCAACAAATGCAATCGACACGAGCGTCGAGCACCCCTCCGCACAAGCAACTGCCGAGGCGATTAGACGGACCGCGCTCCTCTCTCGCAGCTGATTGGTCAGCTGCCGAACCGCACGGACGTCAGCTGCACGGCCGCCGCCCGGCCGACCTGACCAGGGTCGGCCGGGCGGCGACCTAGCGTCACTAGAACTGCAATAACTTTTGCCGGCAGTGTGATGCCGACCTAATTTTTTCAGCAAATGAATCACAACTGTACGGTATATGTTATGGACGTTGTCTCGATGTGAAGCACGCTGTGCGTTTTTTGATAGGCCTATGTAAATATTGAAATCCTCAAGCCCTTCTCTTTTGTGCAAGTGTGCAACAATTAGCTTACAATAACTGAGTGGGAAGTTTTTTAGATGTACTTTTGTTACCAATGGATTCCGCACATTTTCCCCTTTCAGCTGATATCTTACTTTCGCATTTTCAAGCAAAGAATATGACA